GTTTTGCCCCTTAATCTCACGGTGAATCAGAAAGTTTTAAAATTGCCAAACAATTCCGGAAGGTATGAAGGAATAGCAAAAAAATCTGTGCTCATAACAGCCGAATCAGGCATCAAAACTAATTTGCGAGGGAAATGGCGCCAATGCTAGGCTCAGTCTCCAGTCGTGTCTTGTTGCGCCCAGGTTACTCACCGCTACCAGAGGATCGCGGGCGCACCAAGACACGGCCGAAGAATGAGCCCAATGCCAGCCTCATTCTAATGAAACATCGGTGCGCTAAGGTTTCTGGGAAAGCTTAACCATCGAACACAAATTTCAAAATGGCTACTCGTCGTCCAGCACACGAGAGTGAAACAAGTTCTCAAAATGACTCTGATACTTCGGAACCTCAGCCATCTACCGCGAAGAAAAGGAAACCAGCTACCCTTGGAGCAGCTAAGTATCGTACGACATTTAAGGTTGAGTGGAGCAATTTATATCCCGTGAAAGCAGTAAGAAACGACAAGCATTCTTTTTATTGTGTGCCTTGTCTCAAGACAATACGCTGTGACCACCAGGGTCTAAAAGACGTGAAAGATCATTGTAATACAGAATCTCACAAGTTATCGACGAAAGCAGCGAAAAATCAGCCATCAGTAGCGGGCATGTTTGGTTCAGGCGGTAGTGTTATACAAAGTGCAGTTACCAGAGCAGAAGTCCTAACAACAAATTTTCTGATCCAGCATAACCTCCCACTTGCAACTTCAGATCACCTTGGGCCATTGTTTAGGGCAGTATTTCCAGACAGTGAAATTGCTAAGCAGTATGGATGTGCAAGAACAAAGACTATGGCTATCATCAATAAGGCTCTGGGACCACATTGTCACAGATATGTTGTACAGCACTGTCAGAAACATCCATTCAGTATTGGAATTGATGGGTCGAGTGATACAGATGTTGAAAAGATGAATCCAGCAACCGTAAGAATTTTCGATGTAGAAAGAGCCAAAACTGTTACATCTCATTTTTATCATATGTGTGTGACAAGTGGCAGGGATGCGTCAAAAGCAGAAACTCTTTTTGGTGTTGTCCAGGAAAAGTTAGAGACTGATGAAATACCATGGAATCAGGTTGTCAGCCTTTCAGTAGATAACACTAATTCAATGGTGGGTGCTCACAATTCTTTGGCATCCCACTTCAAAGCAAAAAATCCAGAGACCTATGTATTGGGATGTCCTTGCCATTTGGCGCACATTGCAGCAAGTAGAGCTCATGACGAATTTGCAAAGATTATAGGAATCAGTGCAGAAGAGCTTCTTATTGATCAGTATTACTGGTTTGATAAAAGCACAAAACGGAAAGGGATCCTACTTGAGTACATGCAGTTTTGTAACCAGGAGTATGGTAAGATACTGAAGCATTCTTCTACCAGGTGGCTTTCTTTAGAACGCTGCGTTCAACGCACACTTGAAAAGTATACTGGATTGAAGTCATACTTTTTGAGTGAAGATGCTGGTGATGCGAGATTCAAGAGGTTACAGAAAGCCTTTGAAAATCCACTCACAGAAGTTTCCCTGTTTTTTCACAATGCTTCCATCCCACTGTTTACAAATTTTAACAAACTTTTGCAGTCAGACGAGCCATCCATTCACATAGTTTATGACTCTGTCATAAAACTTGCAAATACTCTTGGAAATCGTGTTATCAAGGTGGAGGTCATGAAGAAACCACTTAATGAAATTAATTTGCAAGATCCAACAATTTATATACCCCTTGCAGAAATTCACTTAGGAGGGACGACAAAGTTTACACTACAGAGGCTACTTAATCAAGGGGAAATATCTCAAACAGCCTACACTCGTTTCTTAACAGCAGCACATGAATATTTCAAGGCAGCCTTCCAATATGTTTTGAGCAAGTTTCCTATTACTGATGAGCTGCTGAAGCATGCAAGATGGATCAACGTTCAGAAACGTAGTCAGGCAAAATGGGAGAGTGTAGAATACTTTCTATCCAGGTTCAAATCAGCCTTGAACACTGTTAACATTGATGAGATGTATGATGAATTTCGTGATTATCAGTCTCTAACAGATGAAGACATTGGTGTGATTGCTTGGAAGGAAGCTA